CACAAAACCTAAAAGAACTCTTGTCTGCCATTTTGAATATACTGAATAGAGATCAACATAGATATTAATCGATTGTCGTTTTTTTATATTTTGTAAGCAACTCAAACACGAAAAGGTTAAAAATAAATAAATTTTACATAAATTTCGTTAATATTATGAAACAAGGTCAACATATATTTTTATTTTTTATTGATAATTATATTTTTTGACTATGTTATAGAAAATTCAATATTTGTTATCGATATATTTATTTTCATTCAAGTGTAAAAACATCTCTGAATAATGAAATGTAATAGAGTTTGTGACTATCACTTACAGAATAGCAAAATCGTCTCAAGTCTCAAAAATTGTCTCTGTCAAATTTAGAGACTTGATACTGTATCACAGTACAGAATCGCACGGTAAATCGATTAAATCGTTTTATGTCGATCTTGGGCATTTGTGCCAACATTAACCTAACAAAATATTTGTAGAAATCTGTTTGCATCTCAACTGAAAATGTCACTTTTTGAGCCGATTTCTCGACATTTGCAAAAAAATTTGCTTTTCTTTTTTAATTCCAAGAAAAGTGCGGCTTTACTGAGGCTGATACAAACATAGATAGTACTTTTACTCTACTATTACCATCTAGATGATTTCTATTAGGTATTAAAAAAATATAGAATTTTTGTAAAGAACCTTGAGTTTGTTTACCAAAAAATGGATCATAAAGCATTTAGTGTGTCAATTAAGCATTACTTTTTGAGGAAATAAGGAAAAACACTTTTGGACCGTTTTTATACAATAAAGCCTTAAATTTACAAAAAAACAGAAAAAACCGGCGGAAGCAAAGTTGTAGAAAACTACAAAAATATAGTCATATAATATATAATGTTATACATAAAATGGAAATTGAGTTTTTATTGCTAATGATTCACTACAACATATTTCATTTTCATATAAATAAAATTTACAGCCTCTGCTGTCAGTTATAACCAACATATAACCATTATATAACCATTTCATAACCAAAACTCAAATTTTGTTTCAGTATGAATGGTTTCTATTACACTGTTTTTTCTTCACCTGCAAACTTACGAAAAGTGATGTTACGTTATTTTGCATTTTTGGTAACGATATACTATATACAATATATCAATATTATTTTATTCAAGGAATTAATAGTATTTTTTATTTTTTTACTTTAACTCAACTTACTTTAACGTAATTTCATTTTAATACCATGATATTAATAAATTTAAAATCACTAAGGAAAAATCCTTCGGCATTCTTCTAACAAACAATGCAGAAAGCATGAAGTAATAAATCTATGATCATCACTTTTAGAAAAGTTATTAGCTCGATATTCAGATTTTCCGAATTTCCACTTAAATGTGCGATAAATTATGATATTTTTAAGAACTAAAACTTTTAGCCATATTTAAAATTCACCGATACTGAGTACGATCCTTTATTCTGGCTAAACACAGAAACAATTTTTCTAAGTTTTGTATTTTGGTAAACTGTATACCATAAAACCTTACACTAAATTTTTGGGCTGAAGAGGCTGCTCGTAGTTAGTTAGAGGGGATATCAGGGTACGTCTTTAAGAAGATGATTATGAAATCACAGGAACTAATACTCTCTCACTCCATTATATCCTTAATAAACCACTGTGTGCGCTTGATGAAGTATTTTGTACAAAAAGTTTTATTTGTGTAACCTGTGCGACATCGCCAAGAAACCCACCCTCATTAGTTGCGATTTTTTTCCCTAACAATCTGTAGTCTCTACTTCTTCTACCTCCTGATAGCTTCTACAATAGACATTGTACGGGTGTTTCCAGTCCACCAGTGTGTCTGCCAATTATATCTACAGTGACCTGTAATTACTCCTACTAGAGGTCTTAGTTTTGACCTTTAATAATGGCCATGATTGGTACATATTTCATTCTTTCCTCGTTTGCCTGCTTGTTGAGCAAGTTAGGGATTGACTCCTCCAAACTTAGCTTTATTAATCACTTTTTTTCATATCTACAAGTAGTCAGAGACATACAAATTCCCTTTTTTCGGTTTCTATGTAGTTGTAGCACGCTGCCTGTTGGCTTCTCCTAGGAGCCAAGTATGTGCAAATGCAGATGGAAGTTCAAAGCAACTAGCAACTATATTATTATTAGATAATATAGCATAAATGTACCTGTATACATTTTTTGAGTTTTGTTCGATTATAAGCATGCTTAAATGACACAGGCGGGAGCCTAAATGAAGTGTTTACCTCAGAACTCTCTTATACTGTTTCAAAAATTAGTTATTCTCCAAACAACTAATGAAATTAACGTTTTCGGTAATCCATTTTTCAAAAGTGCTGAAATAAGCTCAGCTAATAAGCCATGAAAGGTTCAAAGTAAAATTCAAAAGTAAACCAAAGCACTTGAGCTCTAAATGGCCTAGAGCAACAAATTAAAAGATAAGAACAGGAATCAAAGCTTTCAACCTTAGGGAATGTAGCAAAAAAGAACCGAATTTCACTTAGGAATCCAAATCTTCTTTATAATAAGCACTTCCAAAAAGACAAATAAAAATAAAATAGCAAAAGACTGCAGAGTATTCAATTAAATGCCAATAAATCCCATTAAATCGATTCAATGAAATTAACTTCTTCCGCATATAATGCGAGTTATTCTTTTATGTGTCAGTGCATATGTATTTGAGTGTGCTCATTTGGCCAACTATTCGATTGTCAAAAATTTCTACTTTCTATTTCGCATGCTTATCCAAAGATTTATAAACTGGAAGAGAGGTAGAATAAATTTTGCATAAAGACACCGGTGTGCGCCACTTGCTTGTTGTTTCTGCGGCTTATTTATATGTATTTAGTTTTTTTTAGTTTTTCCGAAGTGACTTTTTAAGTTTAATGCGAATTAAAGAAATAAGCGGTTTATTGGTAAAATATTTCAGAGATAGTAAAAGAAAAAAATTGAAGAAATATCTACAGAATTGTGTAGAAATATTTGTGAGTTACACGATAAAAGCATTTATTGAGGTACATTGTATACTCAATACCATGAATTAAAATTAAATAATTGAGCGACTTCAGAAATCTTTACCTATTCAAATTTGTTCACTTTATCTCAAACTATTTGCGAAATTCGTCTCACTCGCATTCAAATAGCACGCTTACATTATATAGTAAAGCTCCATTTACTATTTTTTCCATTCCTTCATAGTTTTTGACAAATTGCTCCACATTTGTGTTGACAGCTACTTAACATAAATGAAAGCGCTCCAATATGCTTCGTGGATTGCGGTCACCGAGCTGTCAAGTGGCTCATTTAACAGTGCAAATATACATACATGCGCTTCCATTCTTTTCCATGGTTTGTAAATATTAGCCTTGAGGATTTTGCATAATTATGACAGGCAACTTGATCTCCAAACTTCGCTTCAATTTTTCAATTTTATTTTCTTCAATATTTTTTTGTATTCTAACGCTAAAAACTGTTTATTCTTCACAACTTTAAGTATATTTGCATAGAAGTGTGCTTTTTTTCACATTTCTCATTGATAGATTTTCGCTTTCATATCTATAAAGATAAGTATTTGCTCACTTATGTGTTGCACTAGTAAAACATACATTTTTCAGAAAAATATACATTTTCCTTTAATAAAAAAGGTAACTAATACAATGCATATCGAGTTCGTTGCTTAAGTCTTTTGTTTTTTATCAACAGAAAGCAAGCAAATAAGTAAATTTCTAAGTATTGCTCCAAAAATTCGTTATTTAGTCAGAGAATTGGCTTTTAATTTAAACTTTGATTTTCAAAATTGTGGAGTTCAAGGTAATGGCTGGAAGAAATTGTGTATTGTTTTTAAAAATTTCAAGAAATAAAAATTTTAAGTTATAAAAGAGCAGTATAAATGGACTCCGTAGAATTTATGTATCTTTCTTGTTAGTTAGAAAATATTAAAA